CAACACCATCCACTGAATGCTTCCTTATTCTTAAGAAAATTGTTTGGTCAATACTTCTTTTTTTCTAAAACACTTTGCAGTCATTTAGGATTGGACAAATAATTAATTATCATTTCATTCTAAGGCCAGACCAATTTTATTTCTTGTCTTATGGATCCCACGGGTCGTATTTTTTCAAGAATAAGAAAATAAATAAAAATTAATTTTCCCTGCTCAAAAAATAAAATCCTAATGCTTTTATTGGCCCAAAATGTAAGTTTACAAGAAAATAAATTTTAGATTGTTTTTTGCCCTAACTACACTTCAGAAATTGCCAAAAATTAAATAATTTTAGTATTTATAAGGAATATTACTTTGACTGATGATTTTAATTTTTTTTCCAGTTCCCTCCTGCCTTTAGGTTTTCTGAGGACATAAATCCGTAAAGCAAGAAATAAAATTGGCCTAGCCTAACTTTAAGCACCTATATGTTGTGATATATTGAACATATCTGGAATGATCTTGGAGGGATAGAAATTAATTTTCCTTTTTCTTCTCCCCATGAGGCATTTGTTTTTTGTTTTTGAAAATGAATTTATCAGAATCATCTCTTACATATATGCTGTGATAGACAGTATCAAACAAACACGGAAATGTAGCTATCACTTTACTCAGGGCATTTCACACACATGTCATTATATTCCAAGAAAACTGGAGTCATTATGATATGATAACATACTGACCGGTATCTATAATGTAATAACAGCTATACCTTGACAACATTGTGCCTATTTGAAGACATTATAAGTGGATTAAACAAAACAAAAGGGAAACTGACATGAACAGAGTAACAAATGTTCCCTTTGCACATCATATTATGTCAGTGATTACACACAGGAAGCAAATGATTCAATTCTGTCCTGTCAAATAAAACAACGTGCCGGTGTATAAAATGACAACATGTCCCATATGCCAAATTAAATCAGAGAACTGTCACGAGAGCATGAATAAAAACGAAAGATCAGTTTGTTTGTTGTGTAATGTCACACTCAGCAATATTCCAGCTATTTGGAGGCAGTCTGTACATAATCGTCTGGACCAGACAATCCAGTGATCAACAGCATGAGCATCAATCTACGCAACTGGGATATGATGACATGTGTCAACCAAGTCAGTGAGCCTGTCCACCCAACCCCATTAGACGTCTCTTACGACAAGCATGGGTTACTGTTAGACACCTATTACGACAAGCATGGGTTGCTGAAAACCAATTCTAACCCGGATCTTCACACGTCAAAAAGATAGTAAAACAATAACCCACAAAAGGAGGCTGGGTGAAGGACAGGACAGATTCTTTTAATCAAATGTATTAAATGTTTGCGAGTAATTTTAATTTCATTTAACTAGCTCTAAGTTTTTGCAAAAAATAAGAAACAGACTGATTCCACTCTAAGGTTTAGAGTGAGTGAGTGATATTGGTTTAATGCCACTAAGGACAGAGGTGTTCTAGTTAACTGTAGGCTGCTGACTGGCTGAGTTTAGTTTTAAACCGCTTTTAGCAATATTCCAGCAATATCACGCGGCGGGGACACCAGAAATGGGCTTCACACATTGTACCCATGTGGGGAATCGAACCCGGGTCTTCTGTGTGATGAGCCAACGCTTTAACCACTAGGCTACCTCACAGCCCCCAGTTAAATGTAGGAGGAAAGCCCAACGTGATGCATGTCTCAGATCTATACCACTTCGGTAAAAGCCACAACCACACTTATGGTGCTAACAAACCAAGAAGTCAAATCGGGTAACCGGAATATGAACCAATATTGACAGTTTTCTCATGTTCACAAGCAATGTAACTCAGCACAGCATCTGGGGACACCATACATGACTGGGTCACCATGTCCCATAAGAAAGAGTGAGTGAGTTAAGAGTTTTAGTCAAATCAGCAGTATTTCAGCCATAGCATGACTGAAACAAGTCATACATTCAGGATACATATTACATAAAAAGTGTTGATGAAGGACTAAAAATCCCGAGAATATCACAGATATAGATTAAAACTAGCAAGTAAATATAAAAATATTTTACTATTGAAGACAATACAATTGGAGTAAAAAATAAAACCTTAGAACTTGACCTCTTTTACAATTTTGATCCGGGTGCCATTAAAATAGTTCAGAGTGATTATTTGGTAAATATTTTCTGCTGAAATGTATAAAGTTAGTTTTTTATTCAAAACCCATTTTGAAGTGACCATGTGTGAACTGTACTGAGACAGATTGTAACTGTCTCTCTACTGTATGCATATTTTCACCCTGACAAGAAACATTAAAATCATCCACATCCCAAATGAAGAAGAAACAGCAATTCTACAATCTTCTATACTCTGTAGGAGCTACAATCTTATATACAGCATAGGAGCTACAATCTTCTACAATATAGGAGCTACAATCTTCTACATTGTTTAGGAGCTACAAGCTTATACACAGCATAGGGACTACAAGCTTATACACAATATAGGAGCTACAATCTTCCACATTGTGTAGGAGCTACAAGCTTATACACAGCACAGGAGCTACAACCTTCCAGATTGTGTAAGAGCTAAAATCTTATACACAGCATAGAAGCTACAATGTTCCACATTGTGTAGGAGCTACAATCTTATACACAGCATAGGAGCTACAATCTTCCACACTGTGTAGGAGCTACAATCTTATACACAGCAGAGGAGCTACAATCTTCCACACTGTGGTAGGAGCTACAATCTTATACACACAGCATAGAAGCTACAATCTTATACACATCTTCCACATAGGCACAGCTACAATCTTATACACATACACAGCTACAAGCTTCCACACTGTGTAGGAGCCACAATACAGCATAGGAGCTACAATCTTCCACATTGTGTAGGAGCTACAATCTTATACACAGCATAGAAGCTACAATCTTCCACATTGTGTAGGAGCTACAATCTTATACACAGCATTATACAATCACAGCATACAAGCTACAATCTTATACACAGCATAGGGGCTACAATCTTATACACATTGTGTAGGGACTACAATCTTATACACAGCATAGAAGCTACAATCTTCCACATTGTGTAGGAGCTACAATCTTATACACAGCAGCTACAATCTTCCACATATAACAGCTACAATCTTCCACATTGCATAGGAGCTACAATCTTCCACATTGTGTAGGAGCTACAATCTTATACACAGCATAGGAGCTACAATCTTCCACACTGTGTAGGAGCTACAATCTTATACACAGCATAGGAGCTACAATCTTCCACACTGTGTAGGAGCTACAATCTTATACACAGCATAGGAGCTACAATCTTCCACACTGTGTAGGAGCTACAATCTTATACACAGCATAGGACTACAATCTGACACACTGTGTAGGAGCTACAATCTTATACACAGCATAGGAGCTACAATATTCCAGCAACATGTAGGAGCTACAATCTTACACACAGCATATGGGCTACACCTTCCACATTGTACCCATGTGTAGGATAGAACTACAATCTTAGTGATAGAGCTACAATCTACACACACTGTGTAGGGCTACACAACAATCTTATACACAGCATAGGAGCTACAATCTTCCACACTGTGTAGGAGCTACAATCTTATACACAGCATAGGAGCTACAATCTTCCACATTGTGTAGGAGCTACAATCTTATACACAGCATAGAAGCTACAATCTTCCACATTTGTGTAGGAGCTACAATCTTATACATTGCATAGGAGCTACAATCTTACACAGCATAGGAGTAGGAGCTCCACAATCTTATACACAGCATAGGAGCTACAATCTTCCACACTGTGTAGGAGCTACAATCTTATACACAGCATAGGAGCTACAATCTTCCACACTGTGTAGGAGCTACAACAATCTTATACACAGCATAGGAGCTACAATCTTCCACACTGTGTAGGAGCTACAATCTTATACACAGCATAGGAGCTACAATCTTCCACACTGTGTAGGAGCTACAATTTTATACAGCATAGGAGCTACAATCTTCCACACTGTGTAGGAGCTACAACAATCTTATACACAGCATAGGAGCTACAATCTTCCACACTGTGTAGGAGCTACAATCTTATACACAGCATAGGAGCTACAATCTTCCACATTGTGTAGCTACAATCTTATACACAGGAGCTACAATTTTATACACAGCATAGGAGCTACAATCTTCCACACTGTGTAGGAGCTACAATCTTATACACAGCACAGGAGCTACAATCTTCCACACTGTGTAGGAGCTACAATTTTATACAGCATAGGAGCTACAATCTTCCACACTGTGTAGGAGCTACAACAATCTTATACACAGCATAGGAGTTACAATCTTCCACAGTGTGTAGGAGCTACAATCTTCCACACTGTGTAGGAGCTACAATCTTATACACAGCATAGGAGCTACAATCTTCCACACTGTGTAGGAGCTACAATCTTATACACAGCATAGGAGCTACAATCTTCCACACTGTGTAGGAGCTACAATCTTATACACAGCATAGGAGCTACAATCTTCCACACTGTGTAGGAGCTACAATCTTATACACAGCATAGAAGCTACAATCTTCCACATTGTGTAGGAGCTACAATCTTATACACAGCATAGGAGCTACAATCTTCCACAATGTGTAGGAGCTACAATCTTATATACAGCATAGATACACAGCATAGAAGCTACAATCTTCCACATTGTGTAGGAGCTACAATCTTATATACAGCATAGAAGCTACAATCTTCCACATTGTGTAGGCGCTACAATCTTATATACAGCATAGGAGCTACAATCTTCCACAATGTGTAGGAACTTCAATAGTATACACTGTGTAGGCGTTATAATTGATGACATAGTGCATGAGTACTATATAGGCAGATATTTGGGTTAATAGGACATTATCAACTTTTCCTCTTTCCCTGACATCTGAAAAGTGTGGTACATGTCATGCTCTTACTTTGCGTGCAGTTGGGGCCAAAGGTGTCCATTCCAGCACAGTTCTGACAGGCCAGCCCACTGAAGTTTTTGTCACATCGACAAGTTCCATTGCCATACCGACTGTCAAAACACTGGAACAGAACCATGAGAAACTGTTTTTATACAACTATGTTTAAAAAAAATCACATCTGTTTCTTGTTTAGCTGCTTACTTTAGAAATGCATACCAGTGAAGGAAATTTTTTGCTGGACTGGACTCTCGGTAATATCTACATTTGCCGGGACGGGAAAAATGCCCATAATGAAAATATATGAAGATTAGGACATTTAGGGCTAATTATGAGTATTAATTTCAGAAATGTCAAGAAATACTCCCACATGTTTTACATTATACTAAGAAAATAATCACAGGAACTTGGTACACAGTGCCCCTTCTATTACACAGGATCTATGAACTCCCTACAGAGTCACTGTGCCCACCCCTCTCCTACCATGCCTTTCCCATTACACAGCCTATGTGAACTCCCCACAGAGTCACCATGCCTTTCCCATTACACAGCCTATGTGAACTCCCTACAGAGTCACGGTGCCCACCCCTCTCCCACCATGCCCTTCCCTTTACACAGCCTCTGTGAACTACCTACAGAGTCACTGTGCCCACCCCTCTCCTACCATGCCCTTCCCTTTACACAGCCTCTGTGAACTCCCTACAGGGTCCCAAAGTAACTCACCTTGCCCCTCCCATTGCATGGCTTCTGGAAGCCCGCTGGACAGGACTGACAGTCTTCACCATAGAAACCTGGACAGCATCGCTTCCTCTGTGGGTCACAGAAACAGGTATTATTCTCTGTCAATTTATGCATTCTAAGGAAACCTTAATTTAGAACCAGACAAACCTGTGATTGATATTATGACAACAATCCATGCTACTGGGTTACAATGTCACACAATAATCCAGGCTAGTGGGTTACAATGTCACACAATGATCCATGCTACTGAGTTACAATGTCACAATAATCCATGATACTGGGTTATGATGTAACACAATAATCCATGCTACTGGGTTACAATGTCGCACAATGATCCATGCTACTAGGTTACAATGTCACAATAATCCATGCTACTGGGTAATGATATAACACAATAATCCATGCTACTGGGTTACAATGTCACAATAATCCATGCTACTGGGTAATGATATAACACAATAATCCATGCTACTGGGTTACAATGTCACAATAATCCATGCTACTGGGTAATGATATAACACAATAATCCATACTACTGGGTAATGATATAACACAATGATCCATGCTACTGGGTAATGATATAACACAATGATCCATGATACTGGGTAATGATATAACACAATAATCCATCCTACTGGGTTACAATGTCGCACAATGATCCATGCTACTGGGTTACAATGTCACAAGAATCCAAGCTACTGGGTAATGATATAACACAATGATCCATGATACTGGGTAATGATATAACACAATGATCCATGCTACTGGGTAATGATATAACACAATGATCCATGATACTGGGTTACAATGTCACACAATGATCCATGCTACTGGGTAATGATGTAACACAATAATCCATGCTACTGGGTTACAATGTCGCACAATGATCCATGCTACTGGGTTACAATGTCACAATAATCCATGCTACTGGGTAATGATGTAACACAATAATCCATGCTACTGGGTTACAATGTCACAATAATCCATGCTACTGGGTAATGATATAACACAATAATCCATGCTACTGGGTTACAATGTCACAATAATCCATGCTACTGGGTAATGATATAACACAATAATCCATGCTACTGGGTTACAATGTCGCACAATAATCCATGCTACTGGGTTACAATATCACAATAATCCATGCTACTGGGTTACAATGTCACAATAATCCACTGTAATGATATACACAATAATCCATCCTAATGATATAACACAATAATCCATGCTACTGGGTAATGATATAACACAATGATCCATGATACTGGGTAATGATATAACACAATAATCCATGCTACTGGGTAATGATGTAACACAATGATCCATGCTACTGGGTAATACAATGTCACACAATAATCCATGCTACTGGGTAATACAATGTCACACAATCCAATGTCGATTCAATGATCCATGCTACTGAGTTACAATGTCACAATAATGCTACTGGGTTACAATGTCACACAATAATCCATGCTACTGGGTTACAATGTCACACAATAATCCATGCTACTGGGATACAATGTCACACAATAATCCATGCTACTGGGATACAATGTCACACAATAATCCATGCTACTGGGATACAATGTCACACAATAATCCATGCTACTGGGATACAATGTCACACAATAATCCATGCTACTGGGATACAATGTCACACAATAATCCATGCTACTGGGATACAATGTCACACAATAATCCATGCTACTGGGATACAATGTCACACAATAATCCATGCTACTGGGATACAATGTCACACAATAATCCATGCTACTGGGATACAATGTCACACAATAATCCATGCTACTGGGATACAATGTCACACAATAATCCATGCTACTGGGATACAATGTCACACAATTATCCATGCTACTGGATAATGTCACACAATGATCCACACAATGATCCATGCTACTGGGATACAATGTCACACAATAATCCATGCTACTGGGATACAATGTCACACAATGATCCATGCTACTGGGATACAATGTCACACAATGATCCATGCTACTGGGATACAATGTCACACAATGATCCATGCTACTGGGATACAATGTCACACAATGATCCACGCTACTGGGATACAATGTCACAATAATCCAATACTGGGATACAATGTCACAATGATCCAATGGGATACAATGTCACACAATAATGTCACATTGGGATACAATGTCACAATGATCCACGCTACTGGGATACAATGTCACAATAATCCACGCTACTGGGATACAATGTCACACAATAATCCATGCTACTGGGATACAATGTCACACAATAATCCATGCTACTGGGATACAATGTCACACAATAATCCATGCTACTGGGATACAATGTCACACAATGATCCATGCTACTGGGATACAATGTCACACAATAACCCATGCTACTGGGATACAATGTCACACAATGATCCATGCTACTGGGATACAATGTCACACAATGATCCATGCTACTGGGATACAATGTCACACAATAATCCATGCTACTGGGATACAATGTCACACAATAATCCATGCTACTGGGATACAATGTCACACAATAATCCATGCTACTGGGATACAATGTCACACAATAATCCATGCTACTGGGATACAATGTCACACAATGACCCATGCTACTGGGATACAATGTCACACAACAAGTGTTTGCCACTGATATGGCAATGTCCCCCGCCACTAAAGAATGGAATATCTATATTTACTACTTTTTATTTTTTGGGTCACATACAAGATGCCTGTATCTGGTGTCTGCATAATCACCCAATGTAGGCTGTCAACATACTTGAAAACATTGAGGTGCAATGTTTTATGAGATATCGCGTTTAAATAAGTTGAAAAGCGGTCAAAGTGCCGTGGTGACCTTGAAGATAAGGTCAAGGTCTTCCAAATAAACTGGCGTCTGCATAATGCCCCAATGTCAAGATAAGGTCAAGGTCACCAAAACAAACTGGTGTCTGCGTAATCCCCCAATGTAGGCTGTCACCAAATTTCAAGACATTGGGTACAACAGTCCATGAGATATCTCGATAACAAGAGTTAGAAAAGTGGTCAAAGTGTCATGGTGACCTTGAAAATAAGGTCAAGGTCACCTAAATCGACTGGTGTATGGGTAATCTCCCAATGTAGGCTGTCACCAAATTTGAAGACATTGGGTACAACAGTTCATGAGATATCGCGTTAACAAGAATCGGGACGTACGGATGGATGGACGTACGGACGCCGCTGATTACATAGTCCCCCATTCCGCGTTGCGGCGGGGGACAATAATCCATGCTACTGGGTTACAATGCCACACAATAATCAATGCTACTGGAACTGAACCCGGGTCTTCAGCATGACGAGTGAACACTTTAACCACTAAGCTACCCCACTGCAATCTGAATTGTGTATGCTACATCAATTAAGATCATAACATTTCCTTTGTGCAAATGCAGGGACATTATGTCATGTTGTCCCAAACCACACATTGCAAATGTATTAAACAGAGGATATTACATGAGTGCCCATGTCAGACTATGGTTAGGCACCAGTGTCGTAAAGATAGTATGATATGGGCACGAATATAATATTCTGTTTATTACTGAAGTCGTCAAACTGAGGAAAATAAATCCAAATCCATGTTCAAACATAGTGTAGGCTGGCTACCCGCCGTAACTGCATGTAGAGCGCAACATCACAGAAGAAACGTGACATCATAGCATTGTTCATGACGTCACGTCACCATGACAAAGTGATATGTTGCACTAGGGTATCATATGATATGAACCCTGATATTTTCTCCCTCGTAGGTAATAAAGAACTTTCCGAGGCAGCTTTACACTGTTGTACTGCCATGGCTGGTTTTTCCTGCAGACATCTCCATGACAGAACGTGTCTGGGATGAGAAGGTGAAATGTCTACCACATGACCAGAACCAGGAAATCTGTCTCCCATTAACAGGTGTAAATAAATCATTGGTTGGTCAAATGGCCAAATACAAAATTGTTATTTCATTAACATTTTCACAACTTTATATGAATTCTCTTCCCACAGATGTTACTTGTCATACTTATGTGTCACACCCACACAAGTCCCCAGCAGAGAAGAGTGATAGTTGCTTGCATTAGTCAAGTTGGATCTAAGTCGATGTAACACGTGTTCTGATTGGATAGAAAGAAGGGAGATAATTTGTGTTGCGACTTTTCGCCACTAGGGGATTTTACGAGAACTGGGAAATATTAGAACAGAGGTTTGTAGGAAGATATGACAAGTAACCTCTGTGGGAAGAGAATGCTTTATCTGAAGCACAGTCACTTTTTTGTAATATCTATTATACAAAGATTGTATAACCTTATACTACCTCCCCAGGTGTGGTTGTACATTACACTGACCTTGTACAGATACATTGTATTATTGCATGGTGTTACTGTTTCTTATACTGACCACATATGTCCTGTTGCACATGCGAGCACATCCACCCGGTACATGCACTCCCCAAATTCTTCCAATAGTGACATCCAGTTATAACAGTTTTCTGAAAAGATACAGTGTGACAATTAACTGAGTGGCTTCGTAGATCATATGAACATGGATCATATTATGAAAATAATGCTACTCCCATAATAATATCATCATCATCATCATCATCATCATCATCATCACCATTATCATGATTCACAACAAAGGCACTCGAAGGTTACGTGCCATTAAGTGTAGCTATCTTGTATGCAACTACAGTAAACAAGAGCTGCTTCAAAGTAACCCTACACTACAAAAGACCTAAACATGAGAAAACCCAGGACTACAATAGTGAGTGAGTGAGTTAACAGTACTACAATATAGGGCTGCGTAATATAACCGGTTTACCAGTATTTACCGGTTCAGACATGAAAACGTTACGTATTGTGATACGCTGATCGAAAACCGGTATTTTGACTTGCATTTAGAAAACTTCGTAACGCTCGGAAATCTTCAGATATTTCCTTGTTTTATTTGTGCCAAATATTATTTACATTTATATTTTTTTTGTCATGATTAAACGTTTCTATTAAAACTTAATCAAGCATAGTGATTTTGTTGTGTTTTTGCATTATAAATCAAGCATTAACTCGATTATAAGTAGTTTTTGCTTTAAAAATACTTCTTGCAATATATTGCAATACATATCGCAATATATGCTTTCGCATCGCAATATATCGCAATATGAAAATTCTCTGCAATACCCACCCCTACTACAATAGACTCACACATGAAGTAACCCTGTAATACTATAGACCCTGACACTGTGTTCACCTGTGGTTTATAGACAACCAGTACTCACCAGTTTTTCCATGGTATACCCAGTATTCACCAGTGGTTTATCCAGGTTATACCCAGTACTCACCAGTGGTTTATCCATGTTATACCCAGTACTCACCAGTGGTTGATCCATGTTATACCCAGTACTCACCAGTGGTTGATCCATGTTATACCCAGTATTCACCAGTGGTTTATCCATGTTATACCCAGTATTCACCAGTGGTTTATCCAGGTTATATCCAGTATTCACCAGTGGTTTATCCATGTTATACCCAGTATTCACCAGTGGTTTATCCAGGTTATATCCAGTATTCACCAGTGGTTTATCCAGGTTATATCCAGTATTCACCAGTGGTTTATCCATGTTATACCCGGTATTCACCAGTGGTTTATCCATGTTATACCCGGTATTCACCAGTGGTTTATCCATGTTATATCCAATATTCACCAGTGGTTTATCCATGTTATACCCAGTACTCACCAGTGGTTTATCCACGTTATACCCAGTACTCACCAGTGGTTTATTCATGTTATACCCAGCACTCACCAGTGGTTTATTCATGTTATATCCAGTATTCACCAGTGGTTTATCCATGTTATATCCAGTTCACCAGTGGTTTATCCATGTTATACCCAGTACTCACCAGTGGTTTATTCATGTTATATCCAGTATTCACCAGTGATTTATCCATTGTATACCCAGTACTCACCAGTGGTTTATCTGTAGGTAGCGGACATTTTAGGTCACCGTAACACGCACCGCAGGAACCCTGGAAGAAGACAATTCACATGACATCCTCACTGTATTGGCTGACTAAACACAGGCTTACTTGTACTTGATACCCAGGGAGTTGAAAGAGCGAGTGAGCGAGTTTGGTTTTACGCCGCTTTTAGCAATATTCCAGCAATATCACGGCGGGGGACACCAGAAATGGGCTTCACACATTGTACCCATGTGGGGAATCGAACCCGGGTCTTCGGTGTGACGAGCCAACGCTTTACCCACTTGGCTACCCCACCGCCCCGGAGTTGAAAGAGTATCGGAAATTACAATAGTATCCTATGACCAGGGATTGTAATGTACATAGCACCGTGAGCAGACAATGTGCCTGGATATGAGCGCCATATAAGCGGACTATTACTATTACTATTGAAATCACCAGTATCCCCATAGTATACATATACATATATTCTAGTACTTGTCTGGAGCTGTGTCTATGACAAGTGTCTATTAGAAAAGCCATGGATCTTGACAACATGCAAGACCATTGCAGAAATCATCAGGATGACTTTAGTTATGTTTATTGTGTCTGGTCGAAGTGTGGCTGTCTACATACCCGAACAATACGGTGGATTTTGACATCACAGCGCTTGGGTAGTATGTTCCCCATGTCAGCCGGCACTAGGAGACTCTCGATGTGGTAGTAGATGCCGTTCTTGCAGGTGATGTCAGTCTGGGAGATGTCCACGTCGTCGTTCAGTTGTATCAGGCCCTAGGTACATCACAGGCATCACCACCATCAGTGAAACAAAATGTGTTCTGGCTCTGGAGTGGGTACAAAGGAAATAGTTGACATTAAAAGTAGTGAGTGAGTGAGTGAGGTGAGTGGTGGTGAGTGAGTGAGTGAGTGAGTGAGTGAGTGAGGTGAGTGAGTGAGTGAGTGAGTGAGTGAGTGAGTGACCAAAATAATACACCTCCAGTTATATCAGGGCATGTCAGCTCATGTTGGTGAAAAGCCCAAAATGGGCAGGAGAACTGGGATTTGAACCACAGGATTCTGTACTTCCTAAGGGACACAACTCTGTACAGTGAATTGTGGCACCGCAAACTAGTCACATGTTCAGGGAAAGTTGTGGAAACTGTGATTTCTGTTTAAATGGCAGAGCACACAAAAGAGAATCATAAAAAATAGTCTGGCTTTGTGAATATGCTGATGGTGAGGCATATTATTGGTTTTTCCAAGACCTAGTTAGTTTGGAGTTTTGCTTGCTTGCATGTCAGATTTCCGTTTCTAGATGACTATGACAATGACATGACTATCCACATGCTGTATACTTGCAACTAATATAATGGCTTCACAGAGATGTACCGCGTGGATAATAAGGCCTATAAAGAGGTAGAGCTGTTCCCATTCACATTATTGGTTAACTGTAGTGTTAACATGTAACATGTGATATTTGGGATTTCATTTTCTTTGTAAAGTATAGATTCTAGTACCGGGTACTTTTGTTGGATTAAGTCCCATCTTGGATTCAAACCCACACCCTCAGAGTCAGGCACCTAATTGCCAGCACACATACTCGGACTCCTAACTTGATCAGCTACCATGGCTTCCACAAAAATGGTAGTCTAGATATAGTATAACTGGTAGCCTAGATCACAGACTTTGTCTACCCAGTGTAAATTGACACGGCTCCCACGGCTGAAAGCTAATGATAATGATATGAATACACTATGCTGTTTAGAAAGTGGTCAGATGTAACATATGTTGTATTTGGGATTACAACTTCTCAGTAAAGTACAGATTCTAGTACTTTTATCGGAAGCCACGGTGGTCCTAACAAGCAGTAGATCATCTTGGCAACCATGATCCTGGACACTAAGTCTGAAATATCTATAACCTGTACACCTGAACAGTGAATAAGCTGATTGCGTCTAATGCCCCTTTCAACAATATTTCTGTTTTCCAAGTCCTGTCAGCTTAAGTTGGGAGGAAGTACATGGCAATGCAGGCAGCAGACCCTGGCAGTTTGGTGAGGCCTGGGAGTACTGGTATGGTGCTGGCAAACCGGTTCAAGGCCATTCCAGGATTTGAACCCTCACTATAGGAATGAGTGATGGTCTTCACATGGCAAACTAAAGTTTGACAACACATATGTTGCTAGAATTTTAAAAGTTGTCAAACTCGCGTTTTCACACGTCAAACACATGTTGACAAACTTCCGTGTCATTTGAGAGATGCCATTTTATAGGTAGGGATGACCAAAACATCACGTGACAATCGTCGACTGCGATTGGTTGTTTATGAACAACACGAGTTTGACAACTCTTCACACGTCAAACACCGAAAGTTTGATGGAAGGTTGATGAGAATAGAGACCGATCCTATTTCTCGACAACAGTTTGACAACTCTGAAATTGGTGTTGGTGGCGAGTTGTTGGAATGTTCACACTCTCAAACTCGAGTTTGACAACATATGTTGTCAAATTTTAGTTTGCCGTGTGAAGGCTGCTTAAGGGTTGCAACATCACAAACTGCAGCCTCTCAGACAATCTGACTACAATGTATTGGTTGTAGTGCTTGGACTTACAGTTGGTCTGATGCTGATACTGACGGCAGAGTTAGACTGGGAAATGATTCTCCTTTTGTTGATCAAGTCTGCAACATGCACCTGAAACATAGGATATATTTTAGTACAAAGGCCACCAGTTGGTAACACACTGGCAGATTGGCAGTGCACATAAGTATTTAGCTTCCAGTACAGAATTTCTAAGTTCATCTGTACATATTTTAGAAATTAACACGTCTCAGGACATGTTCATGTTGCTACTGGGTATGTCACAATACATAAGTTACATGAATCAATACGTGTCACGATACCCATGTCATGAATCAATACGTGTCACGATACCCATGTCATGAATCGATACATGTCACAATACCCATGTCATGAATCGATACGTGTCACGATACCCATGTCATGAATCGACATGTCACAATACCCATGTCATGAATCGATACGCGGCAAGACACCCTGGTCATGAATCGATACATGTCACCCATACCCATGTCATGAATCGATACATGTCACAATACCCATGTCATGAATCGTCATAATACCGTATGTCATGAATCACATAATCACGATACCCATGTCATGAATCGATACATGTCATAATACCTCTGTCATGAATCGATACATTACCCCATGTCATGAATCGATACGTCACAATACCATATGTCATGAATCGATACATGTCACGATGCATTCCATGTCATGAATCGATGTCACAATACCCATGTCATGAATCGATACATGTCACAATACCCATGTCATGAATCGATACATGTCACAATACCCATGTCATGAATCGATACGTGGAACAATACCCATGTCATGAATCGATACATGTCGACAAATACCCATGTCATGAATCGATATCGCGGCACAATACCCATACGTGTCATGAATCGACCCATGTCATGATACCCATGTCATGAATCGATACATGTCACAATACCCTGTCATGAATCGATACATGTCACAATACCCATGTCATGAATCGATACATGTCACGATACCATGATCATGAATCACGATACCCATGTCATGAATCGACCCATGTCATGAATCGATACATGTCACAATACCCATGTCATGAATCGATACATGTCACAATACCCATGTCATGAATCGATACATGTCACAATACCCATGTCATGAATCGATACATGTCACGATACCCATGTCATGAATCGATACATGTCACGATACCCATGTCATGAATCGATACATGTCACGATACCCATGTCATGAATCGATACATACAATGTCATCGATACGTTATACCCATGTCATGAATCGATACATGTCACGATACCCATGTCATGAATCGATACAATACCCATGTCATGAATCGATACATGTCACGATACCCATGTCATGAATCGATGAATGTTACATGAATCGTACCATGAATCGATAATACCCTGTCATGAATCGATACATGTCGATACCCATGTCATGAATCGATACATGTCACAATACCCATGTCATGAATCGATACATGTCACAATACCCATGTCATGAATCGATACATGTCACAATCGACAACATGTCACAATACCCCTGTCATG